GAATTTATATGATAACCGTTATGATTTTCTTTGATTTAGTTCATTGCATATTAGCATCACAATTATTGTAAACATAACTTTAACCCTGTGCCAGTGCCTTATATTGAATAGTAACTGGATACTCTTCAATCACCCTAATCTCTAATCTTAAATGCATTGAATATGCCAACCTATGAAAAGAAATTCAATTATATCAATTAATAATGATCTAGTCAGTTATTTATTCGAACAGTCAAAATTCTGAAAATTTTGACTAAAATTTTAGATTGCCTGGCAACTATTTATATTAAAATTAAGAAACAAGTTTGGCCATGTTTTTGTCAGCGTAACCTACAACTATGTCAAAACTAAAAACTCTATGAATGCATTATCATTTTCTGTCTGTAGGTTGTGGAACTTTTGAACCAAGCAGCTCTGATGACACGAGATGTTGACAAAATTAAATATTTAAGACAGGTAAGGGCAGATATTATTTTCTTCCACTACTACAATTCCAATGCTATTGAAAAGAGAAGAAAGTTTACGAAAAGTCTATATAATAAACTGCCCCCTTTAAGATACCTTGACCTTGTAGTTGTGTTATTAAATATATTTTTAGTGTTTTTAATATAAAATTTGTATTGTTTTAAATGTCATTCCAAATGGCAGCAAATTATGCACTATCTATTTGAAAAGAAATTGTTGAAATATTTCTAACAGGTAGAAATGTTATACTTGTTTGTTTGTATTTCCAGGTTCAAGAGTTGATAATTCATAAAGATCCTACACTGTTAGATAACTTTCTCGATGTAAGTATGAATAATGAAAAAAATAACATAGGATTCTCTTCGGATTTTAGCAGGGATGACATAGATAAAGCTTCTAGTGAATGGAAGGTGACAATAAACAAAGGCTCCGTGTGTTTAAGGATTTGTAAGTGAAAGATCCCTCAACAGTTGGATATTGTCTGTCAGTGTTCCCGTATTTTGGTATTACCACAAAAATAGGCTTCAGTTTCCTAAAAGAAAATTGTTATTTTTTCATTAGATTTTGTTAAAAATCTTATTCCATTTCAGGAAATGTTGGCCTTTATCAGTGATAGATCAGTAGATG